TCGCGCAGCCTTTGGCTCGCGCAGCCTTTGACTCACACAGCCTTTGAAAGCAATTTGGGGTTCAGTAACTTGCCAAAGGACCCTTCGACTTGTAGCCTGGAGGAGCCGGGGATCGAACCTCAGATCTTCTATATTTGAGGAGGAGCAATTCCAGCAATGGCCTGAAATATATAGAAAGGGGATGATCAACCCCGAAATGTTACATTTGTCAGAAAAAGTTTGTTTTGAGGGTTACCTTACAACTCTACGTACATTCTCATTAATTGGAAGCAAAAATGAAAGTACTATCTCCACAGTACTACAATTTAATCCAGATTAACGACTATGAAGCTATGAAGCTATGAAGTCTGTGCATTGTTGTCATCTTTCTACATGGAGAAACGCACTGAGAAAGAGAATTAACCCCCCTGTTAAAAGAAATGCATATCACAGCTCTAACTTTAGCCTTTAAAGCTGCAGCTGTGATACGAATCACAGACGCATTCAATGCACATGCACATACTGACAAATATGCAGAATAAATATTCGAGCAATGGAATGCCATTTCATTCAATAATAAATTAATAAATACGTAAACAATTAAATGTGCCTATGAAATAAATCCTGAAACAAATAAATCAGGGAGTAAAAGTATAAATAAATATAAATATATAAATACAGCGTGTTTGCCGTAGATTGTACTGTTAGCACTGTTAGCTACGAGCCAACGGCTGAGGCGTCGCCATGTTGAGAGGCAATCAAAACTTTCCTAATGTTGTATCTTGCACCTTTAAAAGTGGCGTTCCATACTGAGCGGTAGGAGGGCACTTCTTATTGAAACCGGGCAGCTTTCAGCTGATCAGCCGTGACTGGTGCCCAATGGGCGGTGGTGGGAAATTAGTTGTCAGATCCACAGCTCCTCCAGTCTTCATGCCGAAATGTCCTTTGTCCTTCCAAAGACTGTGACATTGGTGTATGTCTGTGTGTGTGTGTGTGTTTGCAATTCCATTTAGCATTTAACGTCTGGTCTGGTCTAACGTTTTTTTTTGCCGGTCACATTTACACATGCGTGCCTACAGCATGATAGTTTAGGTCGGCACACAGCGGCCCAGACATTAACGTCACACACACGGTTCCAGGACAGTGGTGACATAAGTTACTCTGGAGCCTCGCTGTCAATCATCGTACAGAAAGAGAATCGGAATCTGCAAAAATGGCTTTTCATGAAACAATGTTGCCGTGGCATGGCGGCCATTTTGCACGATTCACCTCGAAACAGGAAGTTGTTTTAACTCGAATGTACACTATCTAATATTCCCCAAACGTATCATGCTTCATAAGAGCCCAGGCCCGAAGATCTCTACATCTCAATTATGACACATAGTCATAGCGCCACCTACTGGCAACAGGAAGTCAGCCTCATGAGACAAACATCGCTGCTTGCAGCTTTAATGAGGTTTGTTTTTCTGTCACCAGTTTGCTATGATGAGGATCTGACGGATGGGCTTTTCCGAACACTGTACCGACTCTGCAGTAACCTCCGTCATACCTGCACCATCTTCATCTCCTTAGAGAAAAGGTAAGGAGGAATCTACATCAGGGGTTTGTAACTTAAGGTCCACTTCTGATCGTTAAAAGAAATTCAGAGGACCACCTTCCCAAATATGATTTACTATCAATTATTTCCATTATGAATCCATATTGAATGTATTCATGGCTATATTTCCTCACCACACGATTTGGAGCTTTCACTGCTGTCTTGATATGTAGATTCTACCCATCTTTAAGTTTCTTCCTGGTAGTCAGGTTTTGCAGAAACATCAATACTGATGCTTGTTTGGTGAGTGACTTTTCCACAGCAGCTTTTGGAATATTGGATTTATTTCATTCAACTGATGAAAAGTGTTTATCTAGCAAGCAACCAGCGCGATGACGTAAGTCTTGACCGCACGGACTGTGAGGGCATCTCCACGCCCACCTGCATTTAATTCATTAATAAATATACTCTCAGCCAGTTACATGACTGGGCTCATAGCAACAGCTGCACCTGTAAACAATGACTCAACAAGTTGTCCAGGACATAATACTGATGGTGCAGAGCAAAGAGCGAACACAGAGCACAAAACCTGTTGATATGTCCAATTATAATGTGTGAAAAGGTGTTTTTTGAAGATGTTTATATGATCTCATTAAACCAATAATGTTTCAGTCAGATATTACGTCATAAATTGTCGAATCTTATTGTAAAATGTGACATAGTATAATTTGCCCGTTTATGCATCTCAATAATAAAACATGAAACGCTACCTTGGCTTTTATAAAAAGTAGGAAAGGAGGCCGTGCTACACAGGGAGCCCCGTATCTCCCACATAGACCACCAGAATACAGAAACCAGTCTTCACTGGTTGTTCTGTGCGGTTGTGAGTCTGAGAACCAGATGAATCTCTGAGCTCGTGTTTTATTTGCTCTGACAGATGTGTCTGGTCTCCCTCATTGTTGGACATATTTCCATATTTCCAGCAACTTAAGATCTGACCTTTTGATATGTTCAAAAACAATGCAGATGTGGAACTTCCTGTGAAGCCACTAATCACCTCTGTATTGAACGAACTGGACTGTATATTTTCACTAAAATATTTTCACCTTTTATCTTCAAATTTTGATGGCAAAGACACAAACACTTGACATATTGATGCGACATCATCACAGCTCATCGCTACATCACATGTTCCGTTGCTCTAATTAGCTGTTCTTTTAAACAGTTAGACTTTTCCTTCAGATTGAATTAAGTTTCTTTGTGGGGGAGAGGTATTGACCGATTAATTGGCTATTGACTTTTTTTCTTGTCAAAACTATAAATGCTTCTCTGGGCCTTTTGCAGTCTGTTGACTTCTACTGCACATACACAGCCTCCCTGTATTGATACTGTACTGATATCGTACACACAGTGATATAGGGAGCTTGTTTTGTGTCATTTTGGGATTTATTGATATGCGTTAACATTTTCCCATTCCGCAGGCTTAATGATAACCCTCACAGATCAAGTTACGAGCTCTAATCCTGTTTCCTGTTGTGACTGGATGTCTCTCAAGGATGAACTTCACCCTGCGACACATGGATGTTTCTTGCGACGCCTACAACCATTTCAGCCACTGCCTGTTCCAACTGGAGGACCTGGTGGACGGACGGTGCAGCTTCAGAGTGGAACAGCTCCCTTCTGACTTCGCACAATTTCTTCTGTATGAACGCATAGAGCAACTGGTAAGGGAAACACTCACACACATATTCTAATAATTGAAACAAACCTAAACCTTAAAGCCTTTAATCTCAAACCTGAATCCATCTTAATTAATCAGAACAAAAGGCATGAGACGTACCCAGTAGTACTGTGTCTGAACACACTCTGTGTAGAATCAGAATCGGTTTATTGTCAAGTACGTTTGCACATACAAGAAATTTGGATGGTGATTGGTGCATAACAATAAACACAGAACAGTATAAGACATCATTTAAAAATATAAACATGGAAATTTGCTATAGAATAAACCAACAACCAAATCAAGAGTATGTTAAAAATAAGTCTATTATTAAAGTGTCTAGTGTGTATTTAAAGTGACTTGAAACAGACGAAGGAATGAGGCTGCAGCTGTGTTGATTATAATAGAAATGAAAGCTTCAAGCATACACCATCCCGCATGCTGACAGGATGCTGGTTGACCACCGGACACTGTGCACACCAGTTCAACATCTCTTCTTCCTCAACATTTCTTGAGTCACTGCCCCAAGCCAGGAAGGTTTTATCGGGCACGTCTAACTGGCAAGAGGCTCTTGTGTAGAGCCGGAAAACGCTGGAGGTCTACATATACCTGGTCTGGCCTTGGAACACCTCTGGGTCCCCCAGGAAGAGCTGGAAAGGTTGCTGGGTAGCCTGCAGCTCCCGTGACCCGGATCAGCAGTAAGGTTCTTATTAATATACTTCATTGTTTTCCTGTTTGTAGGAGCTGTGGAAGGTGTCCGTCACTCCACTTCCACTTCATGCGAGCACTGTGAACACTGCAGCCGCTCCTGAAGATACCAAACAGAGCTCCAGTTAGCAGTTGAAGGTTGTGTGAAACACAAAAACAGCTGTTCTTACATGTGTAAAGTCATATGATTTAGTGAGGTAATAGAAACGGGCAATTTGACATATAGAGTTCATCGGGGAGTTTTAAAAATGAATGTAGAATAATTTATTTTTTGATCTTGTTTCATGCATTTATGACCAACTGTCGTTAAAGCTATAAAGTCATGCATGTTTGTATAGTGTGTCTGATTAGAAACAAGATCTAATAAAGTTTTTCAGCACATCCGTGTGCTTATAATTTCATTCTGTCGACATGTTGAAAGCATTTAAATCTGATCATTGATGTGTTTTTGTGGCAGAACAGAATGCTGCATAAGTAGGACACGTTGATATCTAAACAGATATATTTAAACACGCTCATCACAACTAGAAAAGTCTCAGGTGTTTCTCTCCCAAACAGAAGAGTTGTAACTCTCTCAAATGTCCCTCCTGGCTCTCATACAGTCAAGCTGCTGGCAAAGACAACAGAAACAGGGATTTAGTAATTTTGTATTGTGCCCAACTTCCGTGGATCATAACATATCTGGTATGGAATTAATCTGCAGAAACTCCAGTTCAAAACAAGACCGATCACTTCTATGGATGTCGGTTTTTGAGCCATGACAAAGGCCAAAATGTGGTCTGCAACAGACTAGGTAAGGCTTGTTTTTAGCCAAGCAGATTGCCTTCAGGACATGTCCCCTTTGTCTTTGGTTCGGGTGAGTTGGGCATGGTGATGAACCTACAGGCAGCAGCCGGACCCTTCTTCTCAATGATGGTATAAAACAATAAAATGTGTTTTTCAGAAAGTGTGAGTCATTGCAGCAACAACCGGTCCTTGAGCATAGTCATAAATGACTCTGAGTACAACAAATATCAGGTCCAGCTGTATGTGAGATTAGCCATGGACAGACGGACAGACAGATTCACCCAACCGAACACAGGATTACGCCTGGTGCAGATAATTCATATCAAATAAATGAACTTTTGTCCATTCAGATGCAGATCTGTGAGTTGAATACTTAGATTAGTAATCTATATAATCTAATCTATATATTGTATATATAGTGATCTATAAAAATAATGACAGAAGCCCAACGGGTACTGCAGATGGTAAATGGACTGTAATGTTTTCTCTCTTCCAGTCTTCTGACCACTCAGAGAGCTTTAACACTACATGTCATCCTTCACCCATTCACACTGATGACACTGAAGGCTACCACCTGCCCATTGGGACTCTAACTAACCATTGACACCCATTCAATGGGGTTAAGTGTCTATGGACTAGCAGAGCTAACCCTCTGATAGAAGGACGACCCTGCTCTACCACTGGGCCACACTCAGCTTGTGATGTCTTGTTTGATATGAAACAGAAAAAGCCTCACATTTTGAAGTTATAACTATTTTTACTTTTCAAAGGTATAATATGATATATAATATAATATAAAGAACGTTTCTGGATGTGAGCAATGTCTTTGGGCCCAACATGGGGATGTAATAAGTAGGAAGTGCAGCCTGTTTATTTACCGAAAAGAAAATCATCTGCTGAGTTACAGAAGTCTCTTTCCTAATGTTAGTCTATGGGTAAATGTGTTTTTGAGCCCCATGGCATCAGGTGATAAACCTGGAATATAATCTATTTAATCTTATTTCCATACATGTATATTATATGAATCCAGTGGCGGGCCGTGCATTTTATACCTGGGCCTTCTGTGCTGTCCTACTGAGCTACGGTTATTTGTTTCTATTGGACACGTCGTCATAAACGGACAAGTCAGAATCGATGTAATTAACACAATGACAAGAACCAGTCACATAAAATGTCAAGCATGACAAATTCTGAACGCCCTCTGCAGTCCACTCAGTGGTTAGATTGAAGAGGTTTAAACTGTGGTTAGTTCAGCTGATACTACAACAGTGCTACACTTCTATTTCTATAGTGAAATGTGAAGAAACACTTTGCTAAAGTTAATTCCAGCTTGTTCTAGGCTGCTTTATTGTGAAACACTTGACACTGAAACAGGAAGCTGTTTGTCTAAGCTTCCTGTTTCTTTGACCAATGACTGTTGATTTCTTTTTTTCTTGTTCAACCGTTGCTCAGAGGATCTTTGTCTCTTTCACTTGCCAGTCTGGTTGAACCATTGCCTCAAATAGAAAGTAGTAGAAAATGGAACTCCAGTAGATATCCTTAAGTTTCCACTGCCGGTTTTGATCAAACATAGGATGTGAATGAGTAAAATAATAAAGATGTGTCAACTAAATGTTGGTACAGGGCCACTCTACAGGTCAAGGCCTCAAGACGAGGAAACAAAACAAAAGCAACTGTGAAAACACTGATCTCTTTATTGCTTGAACTGCTATAAGCAGAGAAACCCAAACAACCAGCATTTAAGCACAAACTGCCCAGTGCGTCTGAACAAAGGCACACAGTCTGACGGAGACTCATTGCTGGCTCCTCCATCAGCTTCTCTGATGGTCTGAAGGAGTGGAGCAGTGACATTCACTTTTTGCCTTCTAATGAGTCAGAAATAATGTAAAGACATAGCTGGAAAAAAAATACAGTACCAAGTCAAAATGGGTGCAACACTACTGAATTAAGACATCTGTGATAAACAGACATTTAACACTGGGTGTAATCGATAAACTCAAGATAAATGTCAAGGCCAAACCTGATTGTCAGGTTTCGAGTGGCTGGACTACAGTGCTGATCTTCAGAGAAGAGAGAACTGCAAAACAACAATCGGCAATGAGGATAAGGCAGCAACTGTTAGATGCTGACCGAGTGGGCTTCCTGTACATTTGTTCACTGTTAGATAGGACTGTGCCTCTATGATACTAACTCAAGTGTGTATCTTCATATGTAAAGTACACAAAGGTTGCATTAAATCCTCATGCTCCATTTGACTTATTCACTGACCAGCATTGACTGAAGGAAAGCTTTAGACAGACAGCTCTGGCTCTTTTCCTAAGGCTTGTAGAAGAACGTTTAAAGAGCTGTGGGTGTTTACGAAGCACAGGGGCTTCTAACGAAAGCTGACACCGAGTTGCTTTATGGGAAATGTAGGCTCCAGTGTTTTGGGAGCTTGACTAACTCATTTGTAACTAACTACATTGAAGTGTAACATATGAGGACATATTTTGCGGAGCGGCTGCTGCAACATTACAGCAAAGACAGCTATGTGCAACTCTGCGCTACAAAATGGGCCAGTCTTCTATTTAGCAAGGTACGTGTGCCCCTTTTACACAGCAATAAGTATCGATGTACTTTTCTTAATCACACTACAGATATACAGGAAATGACTTAGTTATGCCAATGAGTTTATTGGCAGTTTGGTTTCGAGATGTTCTATTATTATTTATTGTTTCCAATGTGTCCTTTGATGAATGCTGACTAGAGAGATTGAAATAGCAGAAAACATGAGTGATCAGACCTGATGGCCTGTGACACACACAAGCAACCCTATTTGGAACCGGGTGGCTATGCTGCTGCGTGTCAGAAAGTCTGATCTTCCAAGAGGTACCTTTTTATTAAGTATTGACCTGAGCTCCGTTTAAATGTTGGGATCAGACGAACTCGAAACAGTGAACTAAACAGCATATAAACACTTTTCCTTTGATTAAATAGTTTTGTATAATCACAAAATCTGTAAAAAAATAGTCATTTACTTGAAATATATAGATTTGTAGCAGAGGTGTAAATAGAACCAGCAGACCTGGACATTCTGAAGCGTGTTCAGAAAGTATTTAACAAACACTAAATGTGGAGAATTTCACCCAGAAATATAGTAACTTTTAAAGAGCAAAAGGTAAACAAAGAGAACATGTTATTTACTGATTAAATGTTAAAAAATACAAAAATGAAATCATGGAGAAAGAGCAATATAAAAATGTTGATTAAGATGTAAGAACCTGAACACAGAAGATGTTGAGCGCTATTTAAAATAAGCAGTGTCAGGAGAAATTGACCAAAATGGTCAAGTTTAACTGGAAACTAATTGTGCTTTTTTTTTTAAATCTCATTTTCTCTTCCTGGGTTAAAACACCCTCCATACTGTAGAAGTATGACTGGTACTCCTGCAAACTGTGTGCATGAAAAGTAAGACACGCAGCTGTATAGCATCTGACTTTAGTAGGTTAGCATGCTAACCTACTAAACTCAGCACTGCAGCTGAGCATGATGGGAATGTCATTTGTTATGCAGGTCAGAGACCAAAGCACTGGACAAATTTGAATTTGGACTTGAGGCTGCTAGAAGAGAAGTTATTACAATTCACTGAGAGGGAGACATGAACAGATCACATTATAGTTGCTGAGATATTTCAGTCCGGACCAAAGACCCAAACACATCCATCCCTTGAACCCGGCTGCTAGCTTAAAAATAACATCGAGACAAATGATGGCATACCCCGTCAAAAACATAAAGCTCAGTCAGCATGAAAACATCTGTACACCATCTCTGTGAACACTGGAGATCTCCAGAGCAGACTAAGCTACTAACTGTGCATCCACACCGTCAACATGTTGGACTTAATACTGCAAAATGGATAATGTGACAATGTTTAGGTTTGTCACCCCCATCGAGCTGTGGAACTAACTACTTTAAACCATTCCTATTCCAATGCTCCCCTTCATATCCTGTCTTAATAGGACATCAGCTGATGGATCGACATGTTCCATTGTGACTATAAAATGCTTTATATTTTATAGATTATTTCATCTGTGTATTTTGGATAAATATTCCAATTTGAATAATCTACTCACAGTGATCAGTGTGAAGGCACGGCCAGTCATGCATACACCATTATTTAAATCTTAGCTACACTTTCAAAGTGTGTCTATTTGGTTTTAGGATTACAGCTTCAGGCGATGAAGCTCAAAACTCATAGAAAACAAATCGCGTCACCTGAGAACTTACAAAAAAAATAAAACAACTAAGAGGAGTAACAGATGTATTGAAGTCTTCTTTTGGGGGGGTGCATGTGCATTGGTGGCCCCTGCAGCAGAGGAAAGGAGGGCCAGAGGGCCGACAAGCTCAGACAGAGAGGGAGACAAAGCTGTTGTACTGCTCAATGTTTCTCTTCAGGATGTCAGAGCAGGGACCCAGGACTCGCTCGAACCGGGGCCGGTCCAGTTTGACACACTTGAGGGGACCGCATGCAACAACAGTTGCAGCACGGGGCCGGTTCATCAGAAGGGCAATCTCACCTGAGGGACATGGGGAAGGTTCACACAGGTAAGTCACACTGCTGATGGTGTCCTGCTTGGCTTTGTATATGTATTTGGGATATTTCTAAATCCACGCCATGCTTCGAATGTTAACACGACAATGACAGCTGGTGGAAAGGTTCCTGTGCTGTAGATAGCAGATGTTGTCAGGGTCTTGTGTTTGTCTGACTTACCAAAGTAATCTGAGGGTCCAAGTCTGCCGACCTCCACAAACTCCTCGTCCTCCGACCGCCTCTGGAGCACCGCTGCTGTCCCCTGATAGCACAACAAAAACATCTTGAACTACATATCCCAGAAATGTAACATTTCTTTAATAAACGTTCAGTTTAGACCCTAAGTTTGCACACCACCCGCATTGTCGGCTTGAATTTTCAAAGTAACTTATCGCATTAGTTAACTTGCTCGCTAGTTACCTTACCACTTGGCACATTTTTCAATTCAATTTATTTTTGTATAGACCAAAATCACAAATTCTCCTCAGAGGGCTTTACAATCTGTACACATGTGACATCCTCTGTCCCAGGACCCTCACATCAGAACTCCCCCAAAACCCTTTAACGGGGAGAAAAGAGGGAGAGACCTGTGGGAGAGCAACATCTGTCCATCCTCTATCAGAAGTGTGTCATGTGTACAGAATGAACAACATAACAGTTACAACATTTTACACTGTATATGACAAATTAATGGCTTTATGTGGCAACTGAATGGATTATGTGTGCTTATAATATACTAAAGGGTTTGTTTCTATAACAATAGTAAATACAGCCGGTTCATCCCCCATACACAGTACTGGAGCTTACGATACCTGTGATCACACCTGTCTGCGATGAGTCAGGTGGGATTAGTTTTAATCATAAAATGTACACAGTCCGATATCAAATAAATATACATTTTATGATTAAAACTAATCATTATCAGACATTGACACTGTCCCAGTCTGCTTTTTCGTCACCATACCGGTGACACCAGGGACTACCCCCACCAGCAGGTTGATCTCACAGACAGCTGTTCCACTGCCTCAGCTCTCTGGGTGGAACATCATTTATATTGCCAGGATGTAGGTTTAACAGGGGTACCACACCAAAGAATGTGTGCGGAACCAAATGTCCTGTACCAACCGATCTGGGTTGACTAGAGCTTGCAGAAGGTGGTGTGTACCTCCAGGATGATGAAGAACTCATCGCCAGGCTTTCCCTGCACCACAATTTTCTGGCGGTCCTCAAACTGCACAGTCTCCATGGCGTCAGCCACCGTCAGACGCTCCCACTTATCCAGAGACTCTGTTCAGGAGCAACACTCGGGTCATCAGGTCAAAGACAGCTTTGCTTTAAAAACAAGATGGTCCAGTCAGTCAATATGATGAAAAACAGAAGTTCTTACCTAGAATGGACACCTTGCTGAGGAACTCCTCATACATCTTGCGCTTTCTCAAAGTGCTTCCCTAAAAAGCAAAAACAAATACATTGTGACATTTCCTCAACAACTCATTATTCTCATAACTTTATGGTCAGCTTTGTCATGTACCATCAATCAGCCTACCATCAATATTCTCCTGTAGCTGTCTCTGTCAATGCCCCACAGCTTAACATTGGACTTGGCACGGACTGTAGCTGCTCGAGGGGTTCCGTAGATCAGAGCCAGCTCCCCAAAACTGCCTCCCTCACCAATGCTGGTCACCAGTTCGTTGTTCACGTATACCTAAGAGGAGCCACAACAGATGTGACCAAGTTTCTAATGGCAACGCAGGGTCACAAGTCTCACCTCTATCCATTACAGCTTCCACGTGACAAAATGATGCTAGTCTATATACAAAGTACGGCTGAAAGACCATCCCCTAAGGTCTCTATGCAAAGCCACTGCCTCATAATTATCATTATGAGTGTAAACAGCAGACCCATCCAATCATCTCATTATTACAGTCCTGTAAGCATTTGATTTATGTATTGATTGTTGTCAGGATGTAATGACAATTTCAACAAATATACAAAAACTAATTGTACAGGCCATCAGATTAAACATGAAATCATAGCATAACACAGCATATGTGGAAAACAATGAGGCACTAAGAGTAACATTTCTGTTGCTGAAGTTAAAGCTCTGGTGATATAGATTTCTTGGCCACTTGGGGGCAGCAGAAGCAGCTGGAACATAACTCCACAGAACAATAGGCTTCATCAGGATGTTAGTTCTTCTTAGTAGAATACAAACGAAAGATAACTATTTTAATTTGTAATACCACTGCCTAAACAAACTAAACAAAAACATAAGAAAGAGATCTTACATCCGTCTCTCCCAGGTCAATGACATAGAAGTTGTCTCCCTCATCACCTGGAACAGGAGCAATGAAGAGGCCCATAAATGAATGAACACAATCTTTAAATGAAATGCTGTGTGTAAAACTCACCTTGTTGGATGACAGTTTCTCCAGCAATGTAGTTGACAGAAAACATTGCGTCAAAAATGTCACTGGAGGGACAGAAATCAAGGCGATTAGCTGGAAATCAAAAAGGGTCGTTAACTACCAAACGGACGGGTGGCGTTACCTCCTCTCATTGTCGTCCAAGTGGGCAAACAGCACGTTCCTCTCCATGGCTTTGGACAGGGCCGCCATGCTCTTGTAGTCTTTCGGGATGACCTTAGATGAAAAAGCTTGTTTAGATTTCACAGGAACATTTCAGTGAATATTAAGACTACGATATACTAGAATCACAATCAATATTGCAAGTCAAATACTTGTATGGAAAGCCACACTATTCAATATTGGATAAATAAATAAGCCTATGAAATAGCAATGAAATAATTAATAAATGAAGCATCAAATATATTAATACATGTAAATATGAATATATAAATGAGTCAATATAGTATATACAGTAAATACAGTGGGTACGGAAAGTATTCAGACCCCTTTACATTTTTCACTCTTTGTTTCATTGCAGCCATTTGCTAAAATCAAAAAAGTT